GTTTCTCTCTTCTCCCTTCCTCTTTTTCTCTCTAAAAATTAATAAACTATTCTTAAAAAAAACCCCACAAAAATAACACTGAAAATTAACTTTGGCTACTAGATACATGGTGATCCTGTAAACTCATATAGGGAGAGTAGGAGGATGGCAAGTTTGGGGAAAATATGTCTTCACTTTGGGTCTTGCTGAATTTGAATTCTTATATAGCATCAAAGTAGAGATGTGCCATTCATTTGTTATACATTTGTTATTCATTCATACTATGAATATTAATTGACCCAGATTTTGTAACTGTAGACAGGATTATTCTAAAATGTATATGAAAAGGTAAAGTAACCTGAATAGCTTATATAGTTTTGAAAAATAAGAATCAAGTATGAGAACTCAATCTATCCAATTTCAAGACTTAAGGAGAAGTGTATGTTCCCAGCAGAGGGAGCAATAAAGGCACTGAAGCAGGAGACAGGAAAGAGCCTGCTAGGACTGAGTCCCCCACAGGAGGATGGGGTTTTGTGGAAAATTTTATTGATGATGTAAAATTAAGGGGGTACTGCTCCAAGGTCCTGTCTCCTTCTGGCCTGCCATGGAAAACGTCACATCATGTCCCCAGCAGGGCCAGAATTAAGGCCACTGCCAAGAATTTCTGCTCCGTATTAAAGTCCAGTTCAGTCCAGCATCTGGGTAGTTTAGCTTGTGTTCCTGCTGCAGTCCATTGCTGTGGGGTCTGCATGGCCATGGACAATACAGCAGGTTGAGGGAATAGATAAGCACTCAGGGTGATTGCTGGTCACAGAGCAAGAGAGAAAAGGGGACAAGTAAGGGAGAAGGGACTCTTTGAGGATTTTTTTAAAAAGATTGATATTTAGGGAGAGAGTTTAGAGGAACATCGGTGTGAGAGCAAAACATCGATGGGCTGCCCCCTGCACATCCGGTCCTGGTGATCCAGCCTGCAACCTGGGCTCCCTACCAGGGATCCAGCCCTCAACCTGGGCATGTGCCCTGACCAGGAATAGAACCAGCAACCTTTTGGTGCACAGGATGACGCCCAACCTACTGAGTCACAAGGCCAGGACTATCTGGGTATTTTAACCTTCCTAGATTTTGTAGGCTTGCATTGGCTCCACCCTCCTTGCCACCCATTGTTTCCCAGGCTAGACTGACAGGCAAACCACCTCCCCTATATCACCCTGACTTCACTGCTCATGCTTCCATCTCCCCCTTTGTTAGATCCCTTCCCCCAGTGATCTATAGGGAATGGACCCGTGGTTCCCTGGGGAGTATGAAGTTATAATGATGACCAGATAACCATGTTTATAATGTATGGCCTCCCCTTTGCTCTCTTCCTACTATTAATATTAATAAACCCTAGGTAGTTGTGACAATAACATTTTTACTATTCTTATGACTACCTTGCAAGTCCCACACACGAATCTTCCAAGTCTGTTGCTAATGTCTTCCAATTTGATGTTGAGCAAGTAGATAGATGTATTTAAAAATTTAAACCAGCAGTAATACTATATTTAAAGTGTAGAGACTAAGAACAATGAAAATGTATGCTTATTTGGTATGATCTGCTTTGAAAAAAGGAAAATTGTTACATGTTATCGTAATTTTCATGGCTGATATTTATCTACTAGAGGCCCAGTCCCTCAGCCCGGCCTGTGCCCTCTCGCAGTCTAGGACCCCTTGGGGAATGACCACCTGCTGGCTTAGGCCCGCTCCCTGGGGGATTGGGCCTAAGCTGGTAGTCAGACATCCCTCTGGCAGCCCGGGAGCCCTCAGGGGATGTCCACTTGCCAGCGGGGAGCAGGCCTAGCTGCAGTCCGACATCCTTAGCGTTGCTGAGGAGGCGGGAGAGGCTCCCACCACCACCGCTGTACTGGCAGCCATCAGCCTGGCTTTTGGCTGAGCAGAGGTCCCCTTGTGGGAGCACACTGACCACCAGAGGGCAGTCCTGCATTGAGTGTCTGCCCCCTGGTGGTCAGTGTGTGTCATAGTGACCAGTGATTCCCAGTCTTTCTGCCGCTAGGG